ATGAAGCGAGATCCAATTGTGTTGAAGTTCGACTTGAATCAATCCACGATATTTCACAACTATCTTCTATTGCCTAAGGGGGATAACTGTCTCATCACCTACATAGTTGCGGGGTCCTTGAACCTCACTGCTGAGATATCTCATACAGGGACGAAACAAGAATCCATTGCTTTTATGTTTTTAGTAGTGATTCAAGTAAAATGTTTTTCGTTTATATTAGTCTTTCAGTCATCCTGATGGATGCTAGGCCCAATAATTCTATATGAGTATAATCTTCTTTCTGTTTTCTTTGTCAAAATCTCTAGCTTTCTCAGTGCTGGTTCTGATCCAGAATCGTATGAATTACATATGTGTGCCAAAGATTATTGTTTCGGTCGAACAGATCGATTGATTGGATTGACTGTATTACAACTACGTGATTTAGCAACAACAACTGATTTAAATGCTTCACCTACAATTCATTCAAGAGATGGTCGAAATGGTGCTGGTCAAAGTGGTGCATGTGCATGTATTTGTAGTCTGGGAAAAAGATTACATCTTGATGATACTGGATGGACTATACTACGTATATTATCACAACGTCCTCAAGATGAGATAGCTCGTGAATTTGTTCGTTTAAAATCAGAAGTTCGTAGTCCTTGTGATTCAATAGGAAATACTACTGGTTCTGTTACTGGTAGTTCATTGAATGGATCCGTTCCACGTAGCCGATAATATATATCTATATTCATGCCTTACACCTTTCTCCTGTAAACAATTCACGGGGACCATAACAATTATCTATCAATTATTGATAAACACTTATCAACTGTCTTCCTTATTTTGTTGACAGAATTTATCTGAATCAATCTATGTAGGTGAAATATTCGAAAAACAAAACAGAGAAAAAAAAACTTTATTCATCAATATTAGCCTTATTCATTTTAACATTTATAATTTATTCTATCATTATTATTATTGTTAATATCTTATTATTACAACATATTCATGTGAATATCTCGTAGAAATTACCTCAATATATACAAAGTATTTAAATATTGAATACAAAAATTCATAAATATTAAATTATTTAGGAATATTAAAACCACTATATATATATATATATATATATACAGGCATTACATAAATATATAACATATGTACAAAAGCAAATTGACCGATAACAGGATACAACAATGATGCAAATAGGATAAATAATATTTAATTATTTTGTATTTTTATCCCCCCCGTTTTTTTTCAATCTTCTTGTTTATTTTATATTAATTCTTAAATCAATCTAATATTATTCATTTAATTAAAATCATTATTATTATTATTACTATAATTTAAAAGACTATTGATAATTTAACTACCTCTAAGGCAGTTAACTAATAATACATAATATATACATTTCTATTTAATGTATACTATTCATATAATAATTGTATTATTATTATTATTATTATTATTATTATTATTTATATACTAATTAATTAATTAATAATAATAATAATCTTTTATAATTACTTTTTAAACATTCACTTTTGTTTATGCCATACACTGGTCTTATTTCTCAATATTTATTTTAACCCCCTTTTTACATATTTATTTATATTTTAAATGGTTATTTACATCATTGCCGATAGAATGATATGTGTCAAGAAGACTTATGGTTATATATATATATATATATACTAGTACTGTCTTTCAACTAACTAAAATGCAGAATAACATCATTGTGACTCAAATGAGAGTATTCATTGTTTACTGTTTGTTTTTCTTCTATTCTACAATCCTTATTCCTTTTATTCACAATTTTATTTAATTTCTTTGATTATTTTTCATTGATATAAAGAAAGAACAGAAGAAGAATGTAAATTTCATCGTTTCTTAAATTGATTTTTTATGTATATACATGGAGTGTTTTATCTTGTGGTTGACATTACTGACTGATATATATATATACTCTTATTATCATTATTTTCTGCTTATTAAATAATTTACTGTATTTTATTTATACAATTGAAGGCAGAAATAATGATTATTTAAGTAATATAAACAATATGACATTAATTAATTCATTTCTAGTATAAAATGCACATTCATTTGTTAACTGCATTTATTCATCATTAACACATTCATGCATATATCTTATTATAATCTCAAGTGTTCGATATTGAGAGTATCTTCACATTGTACAAGTAATACTAATCATGATAACAATAGTAATAATAATAATAATAGTCTTTTTTTTCTTACTTGTTATTAGAATGATTGAATTAATGACTGGGAAGTTTAATTATTCATTTGTCTTGATTATTAGATTAGATCTTTGAAACTTACTCTGACTAATTCATTTTAAGCAAGTGAATAATTGTCATTAGCTTCCAGACGATCAACGTAATTTAAGACTAGTTTCATAAGCCTGAGCTCTATTACTCAGATAGTAAAAATTTTTTTTAAAAAATATTATAGTAGATTTAACAAGATGAAATGTGAAAATTTGTCTCATGACTCATTATTTGTCGTTCATAAAAACTAATATAAAATCACAAGCATTATATTACAAAGATGAATGGTAGCTAACAGTGAAATCTAGGACAATACAAAATGAATTAATGTATAATCAGTTCATGGAAATTTAGTTCTTCTATTAGTATATTGAGAATTTCTTTCAAATATCACAGTAACAATATAACGGATATGGGATTTTATTTCTGTATATCTTTAACAGAACATGAGAGATTTATATTTTAGCCTTCCGACAATCAAAGTGTATTCCGATTAATTCGATAGCATTTGTTAATTTATGAAATAAAAGGCCATATCCTACATTAGCAATAAATTAATACAAGTGTATTAATTTAATGTCGGTTATTTATTTACTCTGAAGCGGTTTATATTGCCACGAAACGTCAAAAATACAAGTCTTCTACTCATTAGGATATAACAAAAATATATTTATTATTAACTCTCAACCCATTGCTCAATTTATTTGAAACTATCAATCCCAACCTTGGTATTGGTACCTAAACAGCTTTTTATCTATATGTATATAAGATTAACACCATACAAGTTCAAGTCAGTTGACAAAATGGTTAATCAAGAGAGTTTACACTAATATTAAACGACTCTTCTGGATTCCATTATCACATACTCAAGAGACCAATGACATTAGCTTTAATTGAGGTGAGACTAACTTTCTTTCTTGAATATGTTTGTATCTTATATTAGATGTATAGAAACTCTACATAAATAAAACATCTTGATTCCCATTGTTTCTGCTCAATCCAATACAAATAGGATTTAATGAAACGTCTATTTAAGAGGGTTTAAAATACTTCCGCAACTGTCACATAAAATATGAACTGGTAAATATAAGTACTCAGTGAAGCCGAAGTAAGAGGGGTTGTGTAACACCTAAATCTGTTTGTTATTAATATAACTAACGATTATGTATATGAATAAACTAATTGTTCTTTAAAATGACAGGTTCAAGTTACTGATCAGTAGGACTTATTACTCGTCTGAGGTCATACTAATTGAAAAGACAATATGATTAATAATTCAACATACATTCAAAGTCAACACGTAAGCGATCTTGTCACATCTTATTGTCTTGATCGAATTACATTTGAAAATGACTGAGACTAAGTGTAGAAGTTAACAGATTTTTGGATTTTAGTTATTTAATTATGAATCAAGGATAGGGAACTGTTGATTTTTGAAGTGTGTGAATTCAAAGAGCGAAATGCAAATAAGCATACATTGTAACTCTATAAAACTATATGAATGAACAATTTAGTTTTTAGAAAGAATGTGATTGACGAACTGACATCAAAGTGACATCTACCCGCAGGGCTCATATTTTTCAATTATATGTAAACAATTGGAAGAGCACAAGCTCGTAACCACTTGAGATCAATAATCTATTATGATCAACTGCTTTTTCCGTGAACTAACCTACTATTCAGTATAGGAGTCAGCAAGTTTTAAAAATAAAGTGCAGAACAAAATGTTCATTGTCCTAACTTACATTAGTGCTATAGAAAATCAATAAGTATCAATGTTGGGAGCTAATAGTGAGTAACATGAAATCGGGTGATATCAGAAGCATGTGGAGTGTTGATGTATCCTAACTAATCACAATGTAGAAGGACATTTATTCTTATTCTATATGAAAAGAAAAACTGGACTAACAACAGTTTTGTGAACCTGTCTGAAGAAACTGAAGGTTGGTTTGGCATATAAACCAAAACAATTTTTCAATGAACAGATGACTACACTTTAAAATCTAATTTTGAGTTCACAAAAAGGGGGAAAAACTTATGGTTTTGTATGCCATATTTTCATAATTCATTAACATCCCTTTGGAAGAAATAATAAACAATACGAGTCAATATTTGAAACGAACCACTGTAAAATTGAAACAATCCCAAGATCGAACTTAACGTGTATTTAGATGAGCAGAATAGATTGAATAACTTCAAAGTAATTCCATCATCATCTATTTGTCAGGTTCTATATTTCCTTGCATGAATAAGTAGATAAAACGTAAGGCATATGCAACTTGTAATACATGTCAAGTCAGCCAAATAATCAAGTTCCCTGCTTTGTAATTAGGTATCATGTCAGATTTTCCGGATGAATCTGGCCAGTCATCACAGTATATAGTAGTGTAAAACTTTATCTCAAGTTATTAAGTTATGGATGACATATCATATCTATTTATTCGAATAGAATTCAGTAATCGATGTTTAATGTTGTCCAAACATGACGGTGTACCAACCATCTCTTAACAAGAATTGTATTGGCTAAAAATCTATGGAAGTAGGTAGAGTTGGATGTTACACAATTTAGAAACCATGGTAAGTGCAATACATGACACATCATATATATCCAATGTGTACAAAATACATTCGCCAATTTTTAGAAGCAAACATACTTATAAACAAACAAATTTAACTCAAAATCAACTGAACTTCAATAGATAAATGCATATATGCACAGAAAAGAAAACAGTAGTAAAAACCATCATTATATATATATGCACAGGTGTTGCATACATATTATTCGATAAAACTTCACTATTATATGGAAATTACACCGTTTTAAATACACACAACACAACACAACACAACACATCAAATAAGTAGTAAAGGCAAGGCGCTAAAAATTAACCAACAATGTTGTCAATAATGTTAGATGATAAATAATATAAAGACTAGATAATTATGTTATTTAAGATGAAAACAACATATGTGAATAATGAAACAAGGGAATGAGGATATTAAATACAGGGAAATAAATTTGATTCCTTATAAACACAAGAAAAATGAGAAAAAAAAACAATAACAATTTTTGGATAAAGATGGTACAATAATGAGTTGTTATTATTATTATTTTCAACTATCTACAGTGTTTTATGTGAAATGTTAATTAATTAACCTGTGATTTTGATTGTTCCAAAATAGTAACGATTAAACGTGCGAAAAACAAATTTAACATAAAACGATGAAATGTCAGGCACAGTGAATAATAATGATTGTCATTATTATTATTATTATTATTATTATTATTGATGAACTCAGTGAAAGAAAAAGTTTCAAAAATTTTCAATCACAAAACATATGTTGAAGATATAAGCACAGAAAAGGTATTCATTGCCCTCATTAGTGGTAAGAGGACGAGTAATTAAAAAGAAGAAATTAACAATGGTAGTGATGGTCCTAGTCATATTACTGATAAACGAAAGCCCGATCAATATTTTATAAACATAATGCCATAGAATTAAATCTTATTTGCGATATAACTGACAAGAGCAGCTAAACCAAGTGCTCCAACAGCTCCAGTGGCAAGCCCACCAACATTGCGTAATGTTTTCCAGATTAGTTCCTGTCCATCATTTACAAATTGGTGACCACTGAATTCGATTAATCCAGACTGTAATTATAAATTGAAATTAGAATAAAAATCGTCAAAATAGAATACTGGAAAAGAAAATCGTATTTATAAAAGTCCTCAACGATTGAAATCAAAATAAAGTCTAGCATTTCGTTCGGCGGTCTGATTCGAGCTTCTTTAAGGAAACGATTAAACATTAAAATTATTGAATGTAAATAGGATTTACAAATTAACCTTGTACTAAATAAATTGTCCAATCTCAATGACGTTCAACGTGGGATTTGTTTTAGAATGCATGAGTTATTTGATGTGAAATGTGAAGAAATTGTGGTAGGTGTATTTATGTGTATGAATACCAGATGTGATAAAAACCATCGACCATAAATGGCCTCTGGATATGATTAGTGATAAAGTCAAACAATCTGAAGGGTTTAAAACAGCAATTCCCTCTGATAAATTTGGATAGCGTAATACGAAGACAAAGATTATCAGAACCACGTTATATAATAGCATAACACATTTCAAACAATCTGATCATACATAGACTTTTTAGGAACATTTATACACAAAAATAAAAGGTCAATAAATAGAGGCCCTGTGTAATAGGACTAACCGTATTTGTATAAACGATGCTTATGATGATTAAGTGAGGTTGTTGAACAAACCATTAAAGGAAGGTGGTTAGCCTTTAAAATTCATAAATCGATGGAAAAATCGCAATATACAGAGACCTACCACATCTTCGTTACAGAAAAATCTTGTCTACATCCCCCTACCATTCAGAAATAATTCAAATAGACTTGTGTTGAAACAAAGGCTGAAATCGATTGTCAGTACGACTTTCTATGGGGTAAAGGTCATTATCACCGAAAAACAAGGTCCATGCTTCACCCGAAACCTGAACGACATGTAAACTATCGCGTCACATTCCAATGAGTCTATCAATTTACATGTGTGTATGGCCATACATACATAAGGAAGAGCAAACATGGTATCCAAATTAGTGTCTGAACATGTACCTAAATGATTGCGAAAACAAATGACCCAATAAGGGTATGTGACAAACATTCATCGTCCTCTGTTGCTAGATACATGGCTGAAACAGGTCATAAGATTGATCTTAACTTTTTTGGCTTGTACAAGTGTTCAAAGGCGTATATTAAGGTTTATCTAAACCCTGGTCATACGAAAACTGAAGACCCGCATGTGTTCAGCAAAAGGTTTATTCATACCCTCAATCAACCCTGATAATATTGTTTTATTATCCAGCTTGGCGAATTTCACATTTTTAAGCATTATTTTATTTATAATCTTGGTTTCCTCTTACCTCCCCACTTGTCTAACTGACCTTTTATTTTTTTCAATATAAATGTACTTAATAGGCATACGTGTGATTAAATTGTTGGAAATGTATTGCGCTAATATATCACATAGTTCTATTAATTTTCATCTCATTACAATATCTAAATCTAAAAGGTATTACAAATGAAAGATATCACAGAGAAACAGGGTGTAATTCAAGGTTATTGGCTATTATTACCGCATGGATTGATTCAGTGTGAACAAAACCTTTGGTAGAAAAAACTAAGCCCTCTCTTTTGGATTACCATTCACAGGTTTTTGCACAACAGGATGAGGCACATTTGCTTCGTATGAACCAGCTGCTTTTCCTCGTTTCAGATAAGCTATAGCCTTTTGAACTTCAGCTAGAGTTGGGGAACCTACTTTAATGTTCCATTCAGACTGTCTGGGAATGGTGGATATTTGTAGAGTAGCTGAAGGCCAGCTGAACTGCTCCTAAGTGTTTTGCCCATCGTTTTAAACGTCTGGACTGAGATCAGATAAAAGTGTTGTTTTTTACCGAGATCGTTTCACTTACACTTGACTTCTTAATTCCAGTTTCTTTTATTAGTCTGAAAAGCTGTCTAGCGCTACCTACAGCCGCTGTTAATCTTCTCCCAACCCACGATTCGCTAATTGAAGGTACCCAGTGTAAGCCAATATATCAATTACTCATCCGCTACTATTAATGTTGCTGCAACTATTCACTGGTGGATGACTAAAAGTTTAAGAAAAACTTGGATAATATAACTAGAACCACCTAACTGCAGGACAGAGAAAACTAAGATGGGACAAATATTTGATGAGTCATAAAACTATCCAGTTAAAAAACCACTTAGGACTTAAACTTAGTGTAGCTCTAGAAGTTTTAATTATTTTGAAGACACATGGAAGTGAGTAATAAACAAAATAGCATATTGTAAAAGCATGCGTCCATCAAGATTGTCACACATTTGGGTAAAATTTAACAAGTCGAATATGGAGTCAAAATAATAACAGCAATCACAGTCGACTAGCTAGACAAACACAGTATATGCAGTTATACTAACTAGCTGTTATGCCAGGAATACTGAGAGAACTTATTAGCAAACCATGCAATTTATGAGTTTCCTATTCAAATTCATAGGATACTTGTCTTTTTCAATCAAGGATTTAGTTTAAACAAACGTTTCACAAGATTACTAACTTTTTAGAGAAAAAAGCTCCATCCTAAGAATTTTGGTTGAATCAAAGAAAAAATAAATATGGTAAGTAAAGGTGAACGACGTACCCAACCATCGTGAAGATCAATCCAACTCTTCAGCTTCTCATCAGAATACTGACTTGTTATTTTGATAAGCATCTTTATTGCATCACTATGTCCATGTTTGGATAATCTTAAAACCAGTATACGTAGAAATGCAAACATTGCTACAATACGCCCCCAGTTCAATTTTTCGAATAAGCCATCTAATATTTCAAGATAGAATATTTCCAAAGCTGTTTTATCAACTGGTTTGTCGGAATCGATACCCAAACTTTCAGCAACTGGTTCTATTTCATGTGTTCGGCTGAAACGTTGATTGAAATCTCTGACCAACTGAAGTAATGATTTGATAATTTCTTGTCCATTAGGAACAAAATTTAGATCAGTATTCGTGTTGTCGGCTAAGTCAATCAGGTAACTGGCATCTTGTTTATCTGTACTAGCTAGTAGGAAAGAGTGACATAATACCGAGGTTTGTAGTCGAAAATCCGTAGAATTAGACATTCTGAAATACATATAACACAGAAAAATGAATTATTAAAATGAAATGAAGCAGATGTTATCAATATGTAGGAGGAAATCACTCACTTGCTGACAAAACGAAAGCAAATAAAAATCATATTAGTTAAAATAAGATAGAAATGTGGAGGTTTAAAAAGCATGCATCATCTATCGCATTTCTTCAATCCCGTAACATGGATGTACTGTTTCTGAAAGTTATACAAGAGACAAGCAAAGCAGTCTCCTTTTTAATGAAGTCATTCAGTTACTCAGCTACAACGTAGGACCAGGCACATATATGCATCGGTCCAAGTTGCCATACCTCATTAACACAAGATGGACACCGGATTCGTAAAAGTAGTTAATTCAGAGGTGGTAATATATAAAAGAAAGATTGCAATAAGGATATAATACAGGAAGAAAGAATTAGTTCATAGAAAGAAAGATATGAAGCGAATTTAATCTCTTAGTTTAAGGGAGGACGGAGAGTGTATACACCTACGCCATTGTGATCGATTCTGAGCCATGTCACCAAGAGTCTCCAACCATTGGTTACGATAGTCACACGGACCCCAACCAAGTAGTCTGCATCTACCAACATGGCTCAGACTAGATGTTAGTGACTTCAAGCACTGATGCCACGTTTTGGTTTGGTCACCCATCACTTTATTCCAGCCAACCCCAACACCGGTTAGCATTGCACGTCGTGGTAATCGGTGTTCAGGCATACCTAACACGCGGCCCAACCATCTCAGTCGATGAAGATTCACAACCTCATCAACTGATTTACCATCATTCCCTAATACCCTGCGTCTAACCTCACTATTACTTACCTGGTGATCCCAACAGACGCCAGCAATATTTCTACGGCATCTGTGGTCAAATACTAGTAGCTTACGAGTGTCTTCTACTCTTAATGGCCATGTTTCGCTGCCGTAAATTAAAACAGAACGGACTGCCGCGCAGTATACTCGTCCTTTTATTGATAGACGGATATCTCGCTTTCGCCATAGGTGACGTAAGTTGGCAAAAGCCAAATGAGCTCTTCGAATCTGTGCTGAGACTTCGTCAGACACCAACCCATTAGGGCTGATCAGACTTCCAAGATAAGTGAAGTTGTCAACGCGTTCGACTACTTCACTCCCTATTCTTAGTTCAGGTGTTGACGCAGACCAGTCCTGAAGCAGCAGCTTGCATTTAATGGGAGGAAAGCGCATTCCAAACATTCTGGGATTGTTGCTTAGTGCTACCAAAAGACTCTGCATTTTGTCAGCGTCTTCACCAAACAGGACTATATCATCTGCGTATTCTAAGTCGATAAGTGGACCTCCTGGAAGGAAATCATTTCCCGAAAATTCAATAGACGAGAATGTTATTTCCATCAATAGGTCTATGATGAAGTTGGACAAAGTTGGAGAAAGTGGACAGCCTTGACGGACACCACTTGAGGTTGCAAAAGCAGATGACAGTTCGCCATAAGCTCTGACTCGACCGGTAGTGTTCGAGTAAAGAGCCTTTACAAGGTTTATGTATTTCTGGGGTACGCCTTTCAATGACAGACACTGCCACAGAATCTCACGGTCTACAGAGTCAAATGCTGCTTTTAGGTCAAGAAAGACCACTATTGTCAGACGCCGATAAGTATGCCTGTGTTCTAGAACCTGACGAATGGTGAATATGTGGTCGATGCAGCCACGACCGGGTCTGAAGCCAGCTTGATTCTCGTGTTTGCAGTTCACGAGTCTTAGTTAGGCATCCGATAATTATCGAGGCTAGTATTATATATACTATATTAGTTAAACTAACCACTCTATGGTTGTCACAGGATGATTTTGACCCTCTCTTATATATTGGGACGATAAGTGAATGTGACCAGTCAGATGGGATAACATCCAACTCCCAGATCTTAGCTAAAATGTTAGTCAACCTAATCGCTAAAATTGGACCACCATCCTTAAAGACCTCCGGAGCCAGTCCATCCGGACCAGCTGCCCTTCCTCGTTTCAGATTAACTATAGCCTTTTGAACTTCAGCAAGAGTTGGGGGACGTACTTCAATGTTCCATTCACACTGTCTGGGGATGGAGGGTAGTTGTAGAGTAGCTGAAGGCCAGCTGAACTGTTCTCTGAAATGTTCCGCTCATCGTTCTAAACGTCTGGACTGAGAGCAGATGAGGGTGTCGTCTTTTTCAGAAATAGTCTGACTTACACTTGACTTATTAATTCCAGTTTCTTTTATTAGTCTGTAGAGCTGTCTTATGTTCCCTATAGCCGCCGCCTTTTCCATCTCTTTTGCTTTCGCTGCCCACCACTGTCCACGGTCGTTCCTTAGACAGGGTTGCCCAATCTCACCATTCCTCTTCAACTTTTCCATCGATGACATTCTGGGAACAGCTCTGATGGATGTAGGTAATGGCGCTGTGGATCTGTTGCCTGGAGAAAGACTTCTCGACGTTGAGTATGCGGATGATATTGTCTTACTGTGCGATAATGCCCAAGGCATGCAATCCGCACTTAATCAGTTGGCAATCAGTGTCCGTAGGTATGGTATGTGCTTTGCACCTTCGAAGTGCAAAGTACTTCTACAAGACTGGCAGGATTCTAACCCTGTACTCACTCTGGATGGTGAGCAGATAGAAGTAGTCGAGAAGTTCGTGTATCTGGGTAGCTGCATAAGTGCTGGTGGGGGTGTGAGTGATGAGATCAATGCACGTATAGTGAAAGCCAGAGCGGCTTATGCCAATCTGGGCCATCTTTGGCGCCTTCGTGATGTTAGTCTGGCTGTAAAAGGTCGGATCTACAACGCGTCGGTGAGAGCAGTTTTGCTCTATGCTTGTGAAACCTGGCCTCTCCGAGTTGAGGATGTCAGAAGACTCTCTGTGTTCGATCATCGCTGTCTCCGAAGGATTGCTGACATTCAGTGGCAACACCATGTCAGTAGTAATGCAGAGGTTCGGCATCGTGTGTTCGGGCACAGAGATGATAATTCAATTGGTGTCACCATCTTGAAACACCGACTTCGGTGGCTTGGACATGTTCTACGAATGTCGTCCCAGAGAATTCCACGTCGTGCATTATTTGCCGACTCTGGGACTGGTTGGAAGAAGCGGAGAGGTGGCCAGTATATGACATGGTGTCGTGGTATGAAAGAAAGCTACAAAGGACTGGCTTGTGTTGGTCCTTCACGACTCCCTGGTTGGGGTCTGAGAGATGGTGCAACACAGTGGCTAGAGACGTTATCAGATATGGCTCAGAATAGAAGCCAGTGGCGATCCTGCTGTAATCTTCTTTTACTTCATAAAAAGTGGTTGTGTCTCCCTTAACTGAAAGATTTCTTCTGATTGTACCTGTCTGTTCCCTCATTATTACTATTATTATTACTACACTATCTTACACCAACCTCTTCGTTATTGTTCTCTTTTTTTCACGCTCCTTACCTTTTTTTCTTTCTTTGAATTCTCATTGTTTTGTGTGGCGCATATATATTGGCGCTCTCTTGTACCAATATTTATGTGTTCAAATAAAATAAATAAATAAATAAATAACCCAGTAAGTCTTGGTAATTCTGGAGAAAAATGTGATAATCTAGAACTGCTAACTAGTGTGGAATTGGATTGATCGTCATGAGTTATAAGACACAGGTGAGGATGAATACAGAGCATGGGACAGTTGTCGATTGGCTCGATGTAACATAATTTAGAAAAGAATGTATCCGAAAAAAACTGGTGGTGGAAGACTAAGTAAACGGTAACGAAACAAACTAATCAGGCTAGAAATCAAAGGAGTAAAAAGACGTTCAAGCGCATTTATGACACTGTAAAAATGAGTATCAAGTAGATATTTGCAGGAATTCATATTGTTTCTGAGATTCGCGATAATGTTATAGTCCATTGACAATTGGAATTACGGGAAAACAATTAATTATACCGAAATTCCATAGCAAGGTCATAAAGATATGTAAACTTGTGACTGTGATAACAACAAGTATTAAGCATACGAAGACTTACAAAGCTTCGCGGTCTCTACCAATCTGATGGAACTGACGAACTGTAGCGCCGTTGTTGAACTTTGAGTGTTTCTTAACAAGTCAAGTCTCTCCTCAATGTTCAGTTTTCGTAAAATGGTTCAAATGGGTCGAATAGTTGGAGATCAAATATAGAGAACTTTCGCTCAAAGGGATAACGTATCCGGGAGCAGTGTATCACCAAAGCCTCCAGGTATATTTAGAGAAATATTAGTAAATTATGGTGAAATACAACCTCAAGTCCTGTGAAATATGTCAAGTTTCGTCTTTAAGAACTCCCGAGAAATCTCTTGAACCACCTCAACCTGCAGTGAACTCCAGAATTAAATATCTTGTAAAGAGTAAGTGTTTCCCTTCGGTCCAATGTTGTATCCCTAATTTCCGGATGTAATCCTCAATGTTTGTGCTGAGTCTGAACCTAAGTAAGTATTTTAGAGTGTACTCAGGACTGTTTAGGATACCATAAGCCATAATAAGGTCACCACTGTGACGCCTATACTCTAATGAGGAGACCTTCATATGATTTGGATTAAAGTCATCGAAATGATTTCGTGGATAGGTTACGTTGTATTCTTATTCTTTTGGAGTGAGGGAGGAAGAAATGTACTTCCATACTCTATATGAAGTTGAATAAAACTGTTTCCAAAAGTTCTACCGTCAGTTTGCACAAAAATTTTCTTCAACTTTATTAGTGCGATGTTTGCGCCATTGGCATTTTCGTCATAATTGCTGCTAGACTTTAGATCATAAGGTACCAAGACCCTTAGATCGTTTTAAGATTGGGATACCTCCAAAAGAAAGTAACATAAGCTACATGCACGGTCTGAAATATATCTCAGATGGACTACTTTTCACTTTGAAATCCTAAAAGTACGTCCGTCGTCATCTGCCCAACTTTGAAGTCCAGTCAGATCATTATGAAGTGCAAGTAGATGAGAAATTTCCCCTCAACATTTCTCATCGTTGACGAAAGGCAATAAATCGAGCGATACTTGTAAAAGAAGGGCAATGATCAAAATTAAGAAGAAGAGGTTCTAGTACAGAACCCTGAGGGACTCCACCATGACATTTCGTTGCCCGAGAAAAAGTGAAGTTTACCCTGACCCTAAGAAGTTCATTATTTAGATATGAAGTAAACTAGTCAATCATTGGTAACTTGATACCTAGTATTTCGAGCTTTTGGATGTGACAAACTTGCCTGATCCTGTCAAAAGCTTTTGAGATGTCAAAGTATACTACGTCAACCTTCCCTTTGGGTTCAAAGATGCTTGTCCATCTATCCAACACAGTCAGCAGGTTCGTTATACAGTAGTAGTCTTTTCTGAAATCGTGCCGTTAGGGTGAAAAGAAGTTTATGGATAGTAGGTAGTCACTCAGACCATTGTATATCAAGAACTCCGTGACTTCTGAAAGTATTGAGAGGAGTGCTACCAGCAATTAGCTCGAAGGTTCACTGGATGGGTTATGAGCTAGTTTCCAAATTTCTGGTACCGTGCCTCGACATAGCGAATGTAAGAACATCGCGCCAAGTGGCTTTGCCAATATTGAAGCCGCCTCCCTTAGTACAACAGAATGAAACATATTCGAGCCTCGAGAAGTGTCCTTGTTTGAATGGTGTAATATTATTATTATTATTCACAAACATCTTAAGGGTACATAATTGTTGTGAAGAACCATTTCGGGTTTGTTCAGAGATGCAATAATACTCAAGTTTCAGTAATTTTAGCATTATATTTGCCATTTTTTAAAAAAGAGAGTAATAATAATAGAATAATAATAATGAATCAGGTTCTGTGTAATTGAGAAGAATATTGAATAGAGTTTAAAGAAGAGAAGGATGAAAATAAGGGAATAGAAATAAAGGAAACGTGAAATATGCAAATGGTTTAACAAGCGTGTTTATGAACACAGAACGAGAATGAACGACTATGTATGTATCGTCAACTTAGTAACAAAAATAAAATAGAAAATAATTTTTAAAAAAACAACTTTCTATTGCAGCTAGACATGACGCTAGAATAAATGTTTGTGCAGTCATAGTTTGGAGTGATGCTATGAAAGTCTCAATTAAATGAAAGGAATAACGAAATATCAATATATATGAGTCATATATACACAGTGAAGATAAAACGAATCTGAGAAGTTAAGTGTAATGCAAGTTATTGTCTTAATTACAAACTTCGTAATCTTAAGAATAATATTTATTTAGATGGAAAAAAGATAAATGAAAGAAATGAACACCTAGTGAAAAGGTTACACCATGATAATAATAGTAACTGTGTAATGAATAGCGACCTCTAAAGTAAACCAACAATTTAAAAAAATAAAATAAAAATCCTTTATTGCACTCGAATAAATATATGTAGATTTATGTGATAGTATACAGAGTGAAACCGGACATTATTATAAACATTTATGCAATAATAATTAAGAATGATGCTATGAAAGTCATAATTAATTGCAAACGACAATCAAATATAAATTTCTATGTGGTATATTTATGTGGTGATGATAAAATGAACCCGAAAATTTAATCTACTTAAGTGTACCATGAGATAATTTGTTTTTAGTTATAGACTTTGGATTTTTAGGAAAATATATGTTTGGAAGGATAAGAAGAGATGAAAAGAATATCTTGTGTCGAGGGACCAATAATGATATTAATAACAGTAGCAATTATAGGTACGAACATAAGTAGACTTCATATATTAAGATGGACAGTAAGAAAATAAAGTAAAACAGACGTTTAAAGTTTCAAAGTTTTAATTTTACTTTTTAGTCAATTAGATGGATGACGGACCTTGTTTGTATGAATAATTATTAAATGTAAGACCAGTTTTAAATGTTTGGTGTGTGTGAAAATCCCTCCACGTATACACTTGCACTTTGTTCCTATTGATCCCTTTAGTTGTACATTGTTAGTTTTTTGATTACATCTGAATTCTTAATAGTTGTATTTTTATTACAGTTTTTATTTTTCTTACGCCTTCACTAAGTTTTTATGTTTCTTCCCGAACTGCATCTATTTTGTCTTACCTGATACTTGTTCTTGGCGGCAGCCACATTGATTTGCTCCTCCTTTTGTGTGTGTTCTATCCAGTCAGGATAGAATGTCGTTTATTTGTTGTGACTGATTTGATTGATTGAACAATTATTGGTTGAATAGCCGGGTAGTAATATTTGTTTAGGTAACGATGTACATTTAAATTTATGATGAATTATAGAACCGTCATTTACCCGATTACTTGTTTTGATTTTGACGGGCAAAGGCGCGTGTCTAACCTACCTGAACGGCTATTCTTCAGTCCAAACCGTAGTTTGGATTCTACATTAAATACATTGATATTCACAAGGTTACACAATCTACTTTCGGAAAGAAAACCATCAAGGAGAATTCTGAAGTGGGTTGTAGTTCCACTGCAGTGGAGGTTCACTGACAGTCTGTTCCACATGATTGAGTAGCGAATCACGAAAACATTTTGGCGTAAGTTTGTGTTGGTTCTTGAAATCGCTAGAATATTCTCCTTTTTGCGTAGATTTTGGGATGATGTCATAGAGTATGAAGGGGTGGATACCGAAGAGTAGGAAATACCGTTAATAAGCCGGTAGATGAAGACAAGGTTTAATTTGATACGTCTGATCCAGAGAGGTTCTAATTTGAGTTGTTGACATCTTTGGTGATAGTCTTTGTTGTCGGAATACCCCAGAACAGCTTTGGTAAACCTTCTTTCAACACCTTCAATTTTAATCAGGTCATTATACCTTCAATCAATGTAAACTAAAATACCATATTCAAGAATGGGTAACATACATAATGATAATGTCGATTCGATATTATTGAAGTTTATCATTATGAATCCGATGAGCTTTCTGGCTTTAGATTCTTGAGATGCAATGTGCTCAGAAAAGTTCAAACTGTTGCTATAACTTAAACCCATGTCACGAACAGTGTTGAGAGGTTTCAGTGTATCTTTGTGTATTGTCAGATTTAAGTTAAGGCAGTGGCCAATGTGAATAAATCCACTTTTGTCAACCTTAAGTGGTAAATTCCACGAAACAGTCTATTCGTACAACTTGTTTATTTCTTCATGGATTACGCTGAAATATATCTTTCATTGGTGGGGAAGAGAATGAATAAACTACTTTTAGGTCATCAGCAAAAAGGAAAGGTCTACCATACTGAACGAGGGAATACAAGTCATTGATATAAAGGAGAGAGAGTAATGGACCAACCACACTTCCTTGTATAACCCCACTGGTTACATTCACAGGTTGAAAGCAGCAAGATCCAAAACGAACGATTCGACTACGTTCTTATAAAAAAGATTTGAGCCAAGATAAAAGGGGATCCGTATGCCAAATGAAGAGAGTTTTAGAAGTTTGTGTGAGACGCTGTCGAAAGCCTCGATAAAATCGAAGTAAAGAATTATCACTGACTGACCAATATCTCTTTTCTGGGTAATTTGATCAAAAAATTCCAGGTGCGATGTGAAACATGAGCGTTTAGTCATAAACCCGTGTTGGGATGGGCTGATCAGACTAGCCGAAAGTAAAAATGATAATAGCTGTTTGTGGATATTTTTTCCAAGGTTCTTGAGAACAATCAAAATAGTAGGAATTCTCTACTCCCATTTTTCACAAGTGATGGAGGGACGCCATCAGGCCCACCGTCATGAGGCTTTTTCAGGGCAGCAATGTCCTGCTTGATGTTGGAGGGTATAAACCAATTTTCGATAGGCGTTTGGATGTCAGTATCGGAAGTGTAATGATAGAGCCTTCAGTTGCAGTTTTGTAGCATTGCGAGAAGTGCTTGCTGAATTGTTCGCAAATAATATTAGGGTCGCCAACAATGCTTCCGTTCACTATGAAGAATTTCGCCGTGCCCAAGGGAATTTAACTTCACACGGGATTTAAAAAGCCAAAGTATTGATAATTCTGGGCTTTTACTGCTTAAGGCTTTATTTCCTATGGTCATAAAATACCTGTGTTGAAATGAAGCATTTCTGTCGATTAATTAAAATGTACGCTGAAGTGAATACCCG